GATAATGGTGATCATTGAAAGATTGTGATTGGGAATAATCTCACATTAGGTAGATCATACTGACAGTGGGTGTGATGAGGAGATATCAGCAAAGGGGATAAAGGGGAGAAAGTGGATGGAAGGACTGCTAGGATTTATTAGTTCCATATTCGGTGTGGGAGAAGTCAGGAAGCTGCCATGACTCTCTTCTTTCTAAGTCAGGAGGTGTGGCTTTATGTGCCTAGAGTATAGGGGACAAGGCTGGGGTAAGTGAAGGGACATTACAAGTGAAGAGGTGGTTTTGAAAAACCACTTTGGAATTGGGTGAGAGAATGCTTCATAAGATGTTGGAGCAAGATTGCCATGCAGTATTCAGGGTTCCGCTGAAATTGGAAACTGTGTGGAAGAAATTATTTCAGTTTTCCCTAACAGCATTCAGTTTGATGCAGAATTAGAGAAGTCATACATTGGATTAATTTTGTATGAATGTTTTGTTAGGTATGTGTGATGAAAGGACATATGGAGGGGAATGAGGAGTATTGACTTGAGTGTTTTTGAAGTGGCGGATCATGGTGTATGGGCAGGATAGGAATGGCCTGATAAACTGGGACAAAAAAAGAGGAACTAAAGGAAACAGGAGTTGGAGGTCAGAAACTAAGATGTATGAATTTAGTATTTTCAGATATGGATAATTTTGGGCCATTACAGAACAAGGATGTGGTCATGGTAACAGGTACTGGTGTTCGAGTGGAGGTCAGAGCCATAGGAGCCGATTAGGCCAAGGAGTTGAAGGACTCAGATGTAAATAAGATGGGTTGTCCACGTACACACTGAAGTTGCATAGGAGGATGGTAGGACTTGGAGTGATGAGGAAAACTGTTCTAGGTATCAAAGTCCTTATGTTAATGAAGGCAATGGAGACCAGTAAAAGGGAAGGAAAAGGATGGCATTGTTAAATGACATGAGCCACAAAGACAGGAGAATGCAAGAATAATTACCTGGAGCCAGCACTGGAGATGAGAAGGATGCTGAGATGTGAGGGATGTAGGAGAAAGAGCGGTGCCTAACTGAAAGGGCTTCTGGGGAGGATTTAGGAAAGAATTGAGTTTCAGTCAAGGTAAGGAGGTAGACCTGGCATTCTTTAAAATTAAGGATGTAGGGAAACTTATCACAGAATGTCCTTCAATGATCAGGTTCCTTGCCCCAACCTTGTAGTATACTCTTCTTTTGTATCTAAAACTCAGCTCACAAGTCTTCTCTGGAAAGCCTTCTTTGTTGCATTTATCACATATTATTATAATCTAGCTGTTTCTGTTTGCTTTTAAATTGTATCTTAAGTGAAGATGTATCTTAACTCTTTATGCCATCACGTGATACATGATAGAATTTAATAAGTGTTTATAGAATTGTATTTAAAAATAAATGTCAAAATTTAAAAAAAAATTATTTCTTTTAGTCCAGGTATTTGAGATCCTAGGTGTAGTGAAATTAGCACTAAATTAAGATTTGGGAAACCTAAGTTCATCCAGACATTGTCATTAACTACCTTATTAACTATCTATAATAATAAAAGCATAATATGCTTATTAGACCGGACATCCTTCCGGATGACCTTCCAGACGAAGCCGGGGTTTCGAGGGAAGCCTGGGTCCCGGGTGCCTGCTGGCGGCCAAAGGGAAGCCCAGGTCCCGGGTGCCAGAGGGAAGCCGGTGCTGGCAGCTGGGGGAAGGAAGGCCTACTCTTGCACGAATTTCGTGCATCAGGCCTCTAGTAGGCAAATAAATTTATTTTCTTTTCCTTAATTCTATTTTCTCATTACTTTTGTCTTATTAGTAATAATGGTCATTTTGTAGTATTCATGCATATACATAATGTATTAAAAACATATTTTGAGATAAAGCATTATGCTAGTTAACAGAATAAGAGAGAGATTTCTGGGAAAAGATATATAACAGGACTACACAACAGCAATGGCCTACAAGAACAAAATAGATGTGGGATGGTGTCAGGCAAAAGAAAGGAACAAATTTATCAGCTTGAATTTCTGTCTTAAGTCCTCTGGTTAGTAAGCATGTATTGCAGTCTCTCAAGCAAGAGCTTCCTCCTAGGCATATGTGCATTATGTGTCTTTGCTTCAAAAATTCTACTTTTTCCTCCTCTATCAGAAACATCTGAAAGAAGGAGTTAATTCCCCTCCTGTCACACTTACGTTCTGAATACTCTAAGTCTTTTTCCTATCCATAAAACCTAAATAGATCTACTGCGTAAAGTCCAGTCAGTTGTGTTCAGCAGTTAAGACACAAGACACATCACATTTTTTTGGCTTAATTTATGTTCAAAAGCTGTGTATCTTACCTACATGGGCACTTGGAGAATCTTCTCAGTAGTCACTTATAGATTACGAAAACAGGGTAAGGGGTAAGAAGAAGGTGGTCCACTGTAATGTGGCCTGCTTTTTGAGTTATTCTTTATCTTAAATCCACATTTCAGAGTGATTTTGTCATTATTTAAATGTTTCAATACTGAGAGAAGAGTAGGGTACTTAAGGAGTTTATTGGTGATGGCAACTATTGCATGATTGCCATGATGTGAGAGGTGATTTGATAAGCTTCAACAGTTAAATGAGAGATTTTGTTTATGTTTTTATGGCATATATTAGAGGTGTCTTATTTTGTATGTTTCATTTATTTACTATAAAATGTAGTGGTGTAAATTTTGTTTTATATAAAGGTGTGCATCCTACATCTGTATGTTTATTTCATCTTTTAGAATGACCAGGTTCTTCAGGGGTTCTCCGTGGACAAAGGAGAATTCACCTGTCCTCTCTGCAGGCAGTTTGCGAACAGTGTTCTTCCTTGTTATCCTGGAAGCAATATGGAAAATAACCTTTGGCACCGTCCTAGTAACAAAAGCTTACAAGATCTCATAAAGGAAGTGGAGGAGCTGCAGGGACGGCCGGGAGCTTTCCCAGTAAGCATCAGTGTAAGGCAGAAATATCCTGGTTAACTCAGCTCTGCTTTTTAGCTTTTATATTTGTTTTGTTTTTAAATTATTCTGGGCCTTTATACATTTAATACAAATTGTTTTTAGAAGTTTTTCTCTTATTTGTCGTTATTAAAAAGAAAAATGAGAATAATAGAACAAATTATTAGCAAAGGCTATACTTTTCCTTAGTCTAAAAAATTGTTATAGTTTTAATATATGTCTTCCAGATCATGAAATCCTGTAACAGTGGTTCTCAACCTTCCTAATGCCGCGACCCTTTAATACAGTTCCTCATGTTGTGGTGACCCCCAACCATAAAATTATTTTTGTTGCTACTTCATAACTGTAATTTTGCTACTGTTATGAATCATAATGTAAATATCTGATATGCAGGATGTATTTTCATTGTTACAAACTGAACATAATTAAAGCATAGTGATTAATCACAAAAACAATATGTAATTATATATGTGTTTTCCGATGGTCTTAGGCGACTCCTATGAAAGGGTTGTTCGACCCCCAAAGGGGTCGCGACCCACAGGTTGAGAACCGCTGTCCTATAAGCTTAGATATGGTTAAACTTTTTTAAGATACTGAAATATTTAAAAACAAAGCCACCTGAACCAATAAATTATATCTATGTATCTTGCAATGTTAAGCACAGTCTAATCATTTAAAATTATACCCATTAGGTATTTTAGGATTAAAGTATATTTAGACACACACACACACACACACACACACACACACACACTTTATTTATGTGTAATTATAGATTTACATACACATTTGTGTGTGTATATGTATATTAAAGAGATGAAATATTGTATACTTGATTGAACCATTCACCATAAGTCAGATCTATTTTACTGTGTGTTTTTTTCTAAGTGAACCCATCTTTTAGCCTATCCAGTAGGATTTGATTCAAACTCTTAAATATTTCACCTTATTATAGGTTTGTGATATGGTTCTTTTTTAAAAAAGTTAATCCTGCCAAAACCGGTTTGGCTCAGTGGATAGAGCGTCAGCCTGCGGACTGAAGGGTCCCAGGTTCGATTCCAGTCAAGGGCATGTACCTGGTTTGCGGGCGCATCCCCAGTGGGAGATGTGCAGGAGGCAGCTGATGTTTCTCTCTCATTGATGTTTCTAACTCTCTATCCCTCTCCCTTCCTCTCTGTAAAAAATCAATAAAATATATTTAAAAAAAAAGTTAATCCTCAGCTGAGGATATGTTTTTATTGATTTTAGGATATGTGGGAGAGAGAGAGGGAGAAACATAGATCAGTTGCCTTCCATGTGTGCCCCCACCAGGATCGAACCTGCAACCTAAGTATGTGCCCTCATTGGGAATTGAACCTGCAACCTTTTGGTGTATGGGATGATGCTCCAACCAACTGGGCCACATTGGCCTGGGCTATGACATAGTTCTTGAGAGAAGTGAGAGCTATGGCTGGTTTTTGCAGTAAACTTATGAAAACTTTTGAAACAGAAATTCATAGTTTCAAAGCTACTCAGAGTCATCTAGCAGTTCCTTTTCTCAGTTGAAGACTATTTTTAGAGTCTTCGTGATTTTTTTTTCTTTGGTACTTCTAAATTTGTGTGTGTTTATAGTATGCTTTAAGTAAGGGGCATCAATATTAGTCTTTGAAAATGAAAATCATGTTTTTTATAAACATGGGAACTGTTCTAAAATATTATTTTAATGACATCCACTCATTTATTTAGAATATAGTTTGTGTGGTTGGGTTACCAGTCACAATATAGAATTAGGATAAAATATCCCTAAAATAAGAGAAAATATTTCTTGATCTGTTTTATCTTTGTGTACTGCCTACATTTATAATAGATAGTTAATGTACTTTTTAACTTTAATTTTCTAGTATGTTCATATGATAAACAATAGTGTTAGACTATTATTAGAGAAAATGAATATAAATAAACTATATTTTGTTTGTATTTTTTACAGTCTGAAACTAACTTAAGTAAAGAAATGGAATCTGTAATGAAAGATATAAAAAATACTACTCAGAAGAAATATAGAGACTATAGCAAGACCCCAGGCTCACCAGACAATGATTTTCTTTTTATGTATTCTGTTGCTAGGTAGGTATATGCAGTATATACTTTTATATTTACTTATTATTTTTAGTTGGTTTATTTCATTTATTGTCATTCATATTTATTTGAAGAAAGGATTTTTTTTTAATGCTTGTTGAAATTATGGCTAATTTTAGAATCTCCTTGAAGGACTATAAAAGTATACTTTTCCTTCATTTTCTGAAGAGTTTATTTTAGTGAAATATTGAGTTAAGTGTTACTAAGCATTATATGATATGTGAGAAAAGTATATTGTTAACATTTTGAGACAGATATCTACCTCAAAGCATGTGAATATTATATTTGAAAGGTGGTGTTAAGAAATCACTATTCAAGTTGTCAAAAAGTGATAATAATGAGAATTAAAACATTGTAACATGTTGAACAGTATTTACTTAAAAAAATAAGAACAATAAGAAGAACTTATTTTGTTTGTTCTAAACTAGTGAAAGATCTAATAATATCCTAGAAGACAGTAGTTGGTTTTGAAAAACAGGTGAGGGAAGAGGAAGCATGAGATCAGGCAGATCTTAAGCCTCTATTAGTGGCTAGCAGCAGTCTTAAGAAAACAGAGGCAAATAACTCTCATCTTTCACATTAGGTATGATTAGTCTAATAGACTGAGTAGATGTTCATTGCCTAAGAAATAGTTCCAAATAGGAATTTTAGAAAACTTAATAGAATGAAAACAGAGAACCATAAAAGAAGTAAATAGGGAAGAAACCGGGCAAATTAGAAACTTGTAAACTCGTTCTGCCAGAACTGATTTGTAGACCCCTGGATATCTCTAGAAGCTTCATATTTTGTCCAAGTAGTGTTGTCATAGGCAACATTTAGAGAGAAAATGTGACTGGAAGTCATGCACCAAATTAGTGGCAGAGTAGGACTAGAACTCGGGTTTCTTGAGTCTTGGTCTAGTGTTCTTTCAGTTCCAATCCTCTTTCTTCTGCATTCAGCTTTTTTAAGGTCATATATACACGCAGTTTATCATGGCCATTGTCTTTGCCCCATTCCTGGACCAGAGAATAACAAAAGGATAAATGAAGTATATGTAGTCTTTAGAACCCAGGAAAAATAGAACCAGATTCAGGAAAATTGCTGCAAGCAAGTTAGAGCTCAAGATAAGGAAACGTTAGTCTTTAGTTTAAGAATGCAAATTCTGGACACAGATTGTTGTAAACGGATCTAATGGACTGGGAAGTAACTTTTTAGCCTGCACATTCCTGACTGTTATTATTTATCCAGAATGCTTTGGGGGAAGCTATAATAGTTAATTTAACATTTGTCTCTGGAGAGTTACCAATTGCATACTTGCAGTAAAATATGCTTTATGTGAAAACAAAATTGAATATAATTTAATTTTCCACGGTTTCAAGGTTCTACAAAACTCCTGTACTATATTGTGATAATAATGCTATAGAATATTGGAATGAATGTAGACCAACTCAATTATGATGTGTGTGTGTGTGTGTGTGTGTGTGTGTGTGTGTGTGTGTACACACATAGGTTAGTCCTGTGCTACTTAATGATAGGGATATGTTCTGAAAAATGTGCTGATAGGTGATTTTGTTGTTGTGCAAAGGTTATAAAAAGTACTTAACAAACTTAGGTGGCATAGCCTCCTACACACTGAGGCTCTGTGATATAGACTATTGCTTCCAGGCTATAAGCCTGTACAGCATGTTACTGTACAAACAAACACAAGATTAAATCAGTCACAGGAAAATAATACAATAAACAGATGCGATGAACATGAGATTTATGAGGTGGCTACCAGTGTAACACATTTTACAAAGAGTACACTCTAAAATAATGTTAAAAATGTAGTATAGTAAATACATAAACCAGTAACATAGTCATTTATCATTGTCAAGTATTATATACTATCCATAATTGTATGTGTTATACTTTTATATGATTGGCAGCTCGGCAGGTTTGTTCACATTAGCATCACCACAAACATGTGAGTAATGTGTTGTGCTATGATGTTAGGATGACTATGACATCACTAGGTGATAGGAATTTTTTTAGCTCCATTATAACGTTATGGTATTACTTGGTATATGTGTTCTGTTGTTGACCGAAATGTCATTATGCACACATACATATTCTCTCTCTCTCTCTCTCTCTCTCTCTCTCTCTCTCTCACACACACACACACACACACACACACACACACACACACACAAACGTTGATTATGCCTTTGATTTGACTTATAAGAAAGTCCTGTTTCTATATATGGAATTTTGCTCTAGTATGATAAATCCAATAATTTGATTTACATTAGTTTAGTGGAAATTTTAGATTCCTATTTGTGGTTTAAATATATAAATAACTTACAGAATAAAGCTTGCTAATTCAGGAGACTTTTAAAATATACATATTTCAGTTTTTCTCTTTTATAGAGAAGCAGGAACAAATGTCAAATGTTACTTACTAATAAGGGTATATATGTCTAGAGAACATATGCTCTTCCCTCTTCCCACCCTTCTCTGATCTTTAATGATAAACTCTAAAGCAGCAAAATAAAGATTCTGAAAGAGAAACTATATAATCCTTAAAAACCTCATTTTCCTTTGGTTAAAATTACCCAGGTCAGTGGTCGGCAAACTGCGGCCCCTTGAGTGTGGCTCTTCCACAAAATACCACGTGCGGGCGCACACATACAATGCGATTGAAACTTCGTGGCCACACTCAAGGGGCCAAAGAGCCGCATGTGACTTGTGAGCTGCAGTTTGCCGACCAAGGTCCTATTTGAATAGGATATAATTTTATAAGGTAGGAAACTAACCAGATTCTTCATAATTATCTTATGCCTAGCATATAATCTTATGTCATAAATACTTATGATTATAGATTATGATTATTTTTATGCCTAAAAAGTAGGCATTAACATATTCCTATCTAAAATGCTTAGATATTTAAGTAAAATATTTAGAAGTAAACTTACTTTGAATTACTTAACTTTTGAGTTAAACATTGTGATTCTTAAATGTATAGTTTATTAGAACTTACAAGTTTATTTATTTGACATTAGTAATTTTGAATGAACTACAACCTGTTTTCCAGAACTGAATTTCTTCCTGCTGAATAAGTAATTTTGTTTGTTCCTTGGGGAACTTACATTTTTTGATGTTTAGAAACGAAATATTTCTAGAGCAATGGTTCTCAACCTTCTGGCCCTTTAAATACAGTTCCTCATGTTGTGACCCAACCATAAAATTATTTTCGTTATTAATTCATAACTGTAATGTTGCTACTGTTATGAATCGTAATGTAAATATCTGATATGCAGGATGGTCTTAGGCGACCCCTGTGAAAGGGTGGTTCGACCGCCAAAGGGGTTGCGACCCACAGGTTGAAAACCGCTGTTCTAGAGGGTAACTAGCCTGTAAAACTGTTTCCCTTAATCATTGTCTTAGAACTTTTTTTTTGATAGGACAATGAGTATCTTTTTGTTTTTAATTTTATTTGTATGGTGAAGCCTTGGGAGATTTTCTGAGGGCAGCAAAGAAGAAATTGTTGGAATGCTCAGAAAACTCCTGCTACCAGCACTATTGTGTGGTTGATTTTCAACAGTGAGGGAAGATTAGACATGGGGAACAAGGTGCATTTGTGTCTCTTTTCTTGCAAGTCTGAATTAAAGCACAAATTTTGTTATAAATGAAATAAGGAAAAGCTGATGGTTAGGGCCTCTGACTTTGATTTTTAAAGTTTTAGAAATTAGTACATGATACTAACCCTTTGGATAGGCAGGTATTTTTTTTTTTTAATTCAGAAAGAATGTTGTGTAGGAGATTGTCCTACCATAATCTGAAATAATTAATTACATTTAGTAGTTTTCTGTCAAGTATTCATTAAAATAAAATTCCTAGTAACATGTTTGCCATCCTTTAAAGTACCTTGTTTGATGGTTGAATAAACATAATTTTTCTTGTATTTATATTTTAATGAATATTTTTGCAAATTACCCTGAAATCAAAGTTGACATTCTAGTTCTGACATTTGAATGTAAGAATTGCTCATGTTTCTGGTTAGCTCTTTTAAAAATACTATCTAGGAAATCTTAGTTTCTATAAGAGAATATAGCCATTAATTTTTTCCTACAGATTAGGCAACAGAAGATTTGTGAAAACAAAATGTATTGATCTCATTTATGTCCCCTTGATGAAGGAAAACATGCTGGTCTCCGCTCGCTTTCTGTCCACTAATATGAAATCCTTGTCCCTGCTTCCTTGCTGGTAGGTTTTTAGAAGTTCAGTGAGCAATGCAAATCGCCTGAAGGGTGGAAAATTTCCTTGTTATACAGATTCCCTTATCAGCAGCAACCAGATGGAGCTCTGAGCAGGAACATTATCAATGTTAAATTGCTTTCCTTCCCCTTCTTGTCCCCCCCCACCCCCCCAACAAGTAGAGAAGATTAAAGCAATCCTTTATAAATGCGTGGCAAATGTACAGACTTAGGAATATTAATATTTTAAAGTTTGCATTTCTAAGTAAATATATGAAAATAACATTTCAAAACATTCTTGTTCATAAAAACAATTAGAACTAGTTCAAAATGTTTTGTTTTAAATAAAATAGCATAATGTTTTTTCTTGAAATCATTTGCAAAGAGTAAGCTTGAAACTTGGCCGCCTAATTTTTATTTTTATTTTTTAAGACTGGGGGATAGCTCACTATTCGTGTCAAATGCATGTCTAGGATATAAACAACTTCATTCAGTTTTAGTTGTGGCCAATAAAGGTATATTTAAGATTATTAATACTGTTGAAGTAAAAATACATAGTTTATCACTCAGAATTTTTATTTATTATTTTGGCAAAAAATGCTATTTTACTGTTACTATTTTTGAGTGAATCTTTAGATTCTGCATCGTTTGATTTTTGAAATGTCAATTTACTAATTATTGCTATTTTGTAAGCTGATAATTGCTAAATATTTTATAATTTCAGGTCTTTATGAATAATACTACTGATGTTTAGCAGTATCAATAGTTACACAATATAATTTAATAAAACTAATTTTAGACATCCACAGAAGAGACTGCTGTTAATTATGTTGTTCCTAGTCACTTTTATGTTAGTGATTTTGTTTCTTAATATTGATTTCTAGAATCATCCAAGCTCCAATGAGTGATAACCATTTCTCTGATAGAAAAATTGGTATTCACTTGTGCATTGTATAATAGTAACCACCTACTCAGTGGCTAACAGTTGGAATACAAATTCTTTCTTTAGATTCATTAGCAGGTTTATGAAGTGCAATTGTAGTTATTTTCCTTATGGCCTAGTTTTTAGTATTTGCCAACATTTGGAATTTTGAACAATTATACTGTGACATGGGCGGTTTTGCAGTTATAAAAATGAATATATAAGTAAGGACAATAAGCTGTCCCCTTTTTATTTCAGAAATAAAATTGTACTGATATTGCATAGATGATACTTTTGCAAATAATAAAGTTGAACTTCATTGTTTAGGTTGACTCAGTCATATCATTAAGACAAATTAAGAAATATTGCTTCAGCCTAATGACTGAGATATATTATAATGCTTTACTTACAGAACAAATTTGGAACTTGAATTAATACATCGAGGAGGCAATTTGTGTTCAGGGGGTGCAAGCACAGCTGGGAAAAGGTCTTGTTTAAGTAAGTATTAAATGGTGCTAAAATTTTCTATTTATGTCTTTTTTGAAAGCATAAACAGACAAAGTAATCTTTTGGTGTATTTTTAGATTCTTTTTATGTTGTATATAATCAGTTTCAATAGTGATTATATGCTTTAAATGGTTAATCTTGTACTTAGAAAAAAATCATATGAATATTAGCTCTTTCTGTACTGTGATTACTCAGTAAATAAATGTCATGCTAATTGACCACATTTACACTGGTTCTAAAAAATATGTTATTCTCAGCTATAAAAAATTGTTCTTGAACTAAATCCTTTTATTTTTAAAAAAATATGTTTTATTGATTTTTTTACAGAGAGGAAGGGAGAGGGATAGAGTGTTAGAAACATCGATGAGAGAGGAACATTGATCAGCTGCCTCCTGCACACCCCCTACTGGGGATGTGCCAGCAACCAAGGTACATGCCCTTGACCGGAATCAAACCTGGGACCCTTCAGTCCGCAGGCTGACGCTCTATCCACTGAGCCAAACCGGTTAGGGCGAACTAAATTCTTTAAAAGAATTTTCCCATTGTGTGCATTTAAGAAAATCTTTTCTTAATGGCAACTAGTATTGCCTATAGATTCCTCTATATATCTGCTATTAATTAAGGAAGGCATTTATGTTGTATTTTGATATACGTGTTAAAACCTATTAAAGTTGTATATGTTTGCTTTTATTTAAGAATATACTTTATATTGTAAAGTGGCATGATTCTTTAATACTTTTTGTAAGGGTATAGTTG